GGTGGTTCGGAAAGAGCATCCTCGAGTGGTTGGCAGCCCTTGTGAAACCCGAGATCAAGCGCGAGTTCACGCATAAGTACGACGACAGCGTCACAGCAAAGCTGTTTGACGAGTCGTGGGACTGCCCCGGATCAGTAGAGGGCGTCAACTATGACGGCCACCTGCTCGGCCAGGCCGTCCTCGACATCGAGGTCGAGTCCAGCTTCGGCTTCACCCTTATAGTCGAGAGCCTAACCCTGCCCCTCAACCTCGAGAATAGCTACCTCACCTTCTACAACAAGGGAAGGGTTACCGGAGTTGTTACTCTTGAGGCCCTCGCCCGCGTGACGTACGAGAAGAAGAAGGCCATTCTCAACTTTCCATTCCCCGGTGCCTCGTTCAAGATTCCCGGAATCGCCACCATCGGCCCCCAGCTCACCGTCGAGGGCAGCATCGACGCCTCCCTCGGCATGGCTGGCTTGATTGAGACCAAGCTTGAGATTGCCAAGTGGGAAGTACGTAGCAAACCACATGTTTCCAGCAATTAGCACTTTCTTGCCTCCTTTTTGCCAATACCCACAAGTAAAACACTTGCTAACTACTTATGCTTATTCTTAGGTCCGCCAAGTCATGCCCGACACCAGTTCCTACAAGCCTGAGCTTATTGACAACAGCAAGCCAAGCCTCGATCGGACGGGCGACTTCTCGGGTATCCAAAAGCCCGAATTCTACGCAGGCGTCACAGCCTCCGGAGATGTCACCTTTAAGCTGTCAGCTGCTGCCGAGTTTGGCGTTCGCTTCGTCGATAAGTGGGAGATTGACCCGGCGGCCGCCGCAGTCGTGGGCGAGGTCAGCCTAACGACCAAATTCGCAGCGGGCATCTCGACCACGGGAACATGCCCCTTTACCTACGGCCTTGATGTCGGCGCTCGTTTGTTCGCGAGAGCAACGGCGCCCAAGGTGTTTGGCTGGGCTGGTGGTGAGGTCGACCTAACGGACAAATGGGAGAAGACCATCATTAAGGGCGGCACTTGTCCCGACCTGGGCCCGATACCTTCCAAGAGAAGTCTCCGAGGTATCGACCACCTCCTCATAGAGGGCCGTGCAGAAGGCAAGGCCGTGACCAGAAACATGTCGAGGTTGGAAGCACCCGAGGCCGGTGTCTACAGAGCGGTCCATGTGGAATCAATGAACAGTTACGATGCTGGCCTGCGCACAAGGCAAATTTCCGGCGGGCATATGTCATCCCTGAGCAAGAGAGGTGCTGTATACGGCCCAGCATTCAGCCTCCCCGCCGGCGAGTTCTTCTGCCCTTCTCGAGACGGTGAAGTAGGCATGACGTGCGAGCAAGCATACAATGCCCTGGGAGCGGGAAACGAGGGCGATGGCTGGAGAGTAGCGACCAAGCACAAGCGGGAGAAGCTGGCGCCGACGTCCACCATTGACGAAAATGCCATTGCCGCACATTTCCATGCTCATCAGCAGCGAAGTCATGGCCATAACAACCACTCAGGAGGCGAGATATTGCACATGTTTGACAAGAGAGCCAAGGACAAGCTGATCAAGGCCTGCAATCGGGACTGCGACATATCGGATGACTTCCCCCCGGGCGGTCAGCTGAATGGCGATGACTGGGGCTGGGTCAATCCCCACGACTGCGGCAACTTTAACTTTGGCGACCCCCTGCCCGCACGCGCCGCCAACATCCAGTATCACACCGAGCACGTTCTCGAGGCCCAGATGATCGACCTATTCTTCCAGTACCTTGACAAGAAGAAGTCTAAGCTTCCTGATCCAAAGCCAAATGCCCCCCAGGGAGCCACAGTCTCCTTCTGTGATTATGTCGACGAGCTGTGGGATGTGCCCGCTTTCGTGTGGCCCGGCGAGGATACGACTGGCGGCATCGGCAAGGCTTGGAACCCCATTATGCACATTGCGGCACAGTATCCGACAAAGACGTTCAAGAAACACGAATTTGTCGCTCTCGAGTCCGCAATTAACACACCTTCAAAGACAAGCGCCTGGCGATCCTCAAACCCCTGGGACACGGGCTCCTGGGCCAAAGACCTTGCCGACTACGCAAAGGCAAGGGTGATTCTCCAAAAGATGCGCAGCACCATGGGCTCCCGTATCTACCAGAGCCACTCAACAATTAAGTCAACAATGAAGACTCAGACGGATCGGATCGGAAAGGTGCTCGACGCCCTAGACTCGACCTTGCTGCCCGCCAATCGGCGCGCTGGGTACCAGCAATGGTCGAAACAGAACCTCAAGTCCGAGTGGCTCAGTTACATGAAGGGCCAGTACACCACCATGCAGTCCAAGACCAACGGCCTCGTTAATAATTTCCTTCCTAAGATGAAAGCTGCGTGGGTCACGCAGGCAGAGAAGGACAAGTGGGAGGCTGATCCGAATGATACGCCGGCGGATGCGGAGGAGAAAAAGCAACATCGGGCTTTCATAAAGTCTATTGAAGACTTTGAAACGAAATGGAATGGGCTTCCGGCGTGGACGAATCCACTCTAATAACGATGAAACCGCAGCAATAGTATTATGACTACTACTTATACTATTACTACTTCCTAATTCTTTGCCTTTTCTTTAAAGTTACTAAAGTTATTAAATATATGTAAATAATAGTAACGTACATGATAAGCGAGTGAGACAGACAAGCGAGTGAGACAGTAAACCAGACCTTCGCGACAATAATATCGAAATCTATAACAAGAAATCTTAGATTGATTAATACTACTCGGATTCCTGTTCTTCGGATGTTTCCTCAATAAATTGACATGTTCTCGCGTTGTGGCCTGTATTCCCGCATACGCCACACCGACGATGAGTCGTCTCAGACCTCACTTTGCGACCACTACTCCGTCGCGTTTCCTCTTGTAGTTGCGTGTCTGCCTCTCTTTGCGACTGTATATCCTCTCCAGTAGATATAGTAAGACTTCCTCCTTTCTGTAGACGTGTTTTCTTAGCCCTTCGACGCCGACTTAATATTGCATTCTCCTCTCGAAGGATTTGAACCTCTGACTCTAGTAATGCTACCCGATGCCCTAGTCCTTCTGTCCCTCTGGCTAGCTTACTCACAGCACTATAAATTGATGCTGGAGAGCTGCTTCGGTGGCGTGAGATTCGACTCTTAATAAAAGTAGACTGTGATCTTGCTTCGCTTGGGTTGCTCGGCGTCCTAGAGATCCAAGGGTCTGGTGTCTGAGGGACCCCCTCCTCAGGCGTTGGCGTTCGGAACTTTACATCCAGCTTTGAGAGAACACTTTCTGCATTCAAAGGGACAAGTCCAGCTCCTCGGAAACCTCCCTGGATATTTTTCCTCGTAAAAGACTGCTTAAAAGCTTCGTGAAATGCTGCAAAGAAATCTTCCTTCGAGATATGGGTTGTGCCTCGCCGCATCTTATTCTCAATTTGCCGACCGTAGGCATTCTTTAACGGCTGAAAACAACCAACATCTAAGGGTTGAAGTAGATGAGACGAGTGAGCCGGCATGCACAGTGTAATAATGTTGTTTTCTTGACAAAAGAGCTCGAAGGCTGCGGAGTGGTGACTTTCATGACCATCAACAACGAGGAGGCGATATTTCCCAGACGTACGTGGTTTTGTATAAATGTCGAAGTGTCTGATCCAGTCAATACCTCTCTCGTTTGTTGTCCATCCATTTTCAGACGTTGCAATAGCCCAATCGCCCGGAAGAGAGGTTTCTGTATACCAGCTTGAGAGGTGATACTGGCCTGCAACGATGATGTATGGCGGGATGCTCTCCCCTTGGGAATTAATAGCCTGGATAACTGTAACCCATTCCCTATTGCCAGGCTGTGTCATCTTCGTATTTGAACGCCTTTCAGCACTTGTAACAACCATTCCAGAAGCAATAACGCCCATCATAAAGCCGGTCTCATCAAAGTTGTAGATATCAGCATCAGCAATACCATACTTCGCAATTGTATTCTTCACAAGCGAAAACCAGCCACGAATCACCTCTGGATCTTCGCATTGAGCTCTCTTATAGTCATACTTGCGAAAGAAACGCGTCCTAAGCTGTGGTTGTCGCTTGACGAAATTAGAAGCCCAGCGCTTCCCAACTGGAGGCGCGTCGCGCTCTGCGAGAAGTCGATTGGCCATTTCTTCCACACCACTCAGCCGGGGAGGAAATGATCGCGCATCTAGGTCGAGAATATACTCAACTATTGTCTTCTCTTCTAAATCTGATAAATTCCGTGAATTAGGCATGCTGTCGCGTCGTGAGACTATTCCCTTTAGTCGCCGGCTTAATGTTGCGTGACTGACTGTATAGAGTGCACCTGCGGCCCGAGCACTAAGTTTTGGGTCATTTCTCATTGCTTGAAGGGCAATTTGTAACCTTCTTTCAATACTAGCTGATTCCATGATTTATTGTAGAGGAAAAGGTGCCGGTCGCGTCAAGGTGCGACGGTCGCGGTTTACTGTCTCACTCGCTTGTCTGTCTCACTCGCTTATCATGTACGTTATATATACTTACTTAATCTTTAGAAAAGAAAATATACTTAGTATGTCTTTTAAGAATTAAAATATAAAGTACTAAATTATACTTATTAATAAACCATTAATAAACGTTTCTTTAAAAATACTAATCTTTCTCTAATGAAAAATCAGTTTTAATAACTATTAGATATATAAGTTCGAGTTACTAAATAAATATTATTATAATTAAGCTTAATATATATTTATTATAGCTATTTTAGCTAGTATATAGCCATAATAAGTAGAGATTAGAACTATAGTAAAAATATAAAAGTAGATAATATATTATAAATATTAAATAAATAATTACTATAAAGAAAATAATAATAAATTGATAAGGGTATATTTAGTTTTTATAATATAGAATATAGATTAGAAAGTATAGGTTATAATAGTAACTATGTTTATTTTAATCTCTTAATTACTTTATATTAGAAGTATAAGTATATTATACTTTTATTATACTTATTTATTCTATTTAGAGAGCTTAAGTTCTAATCTATATATAAGTTCCTAAGCAAGAGTCTTGGGGGGCTTTAGTAAGTACTTACCCTGCTTAACGTGAGCGCTTACTTCTCTTGGCGTGAGCGGTCACTGATTCCTTATCAGTGCTTACTTCCTTATCATTGCGTGACCTGTATGATAGTTCTTCCACTTCCGAGAGTATTCCAATGTTTCCCGTGTTTCCTGCATATCTGGCGGCGTAGCCGCTAGCTAGTGAGTCTGTTAACACTCTGTTAGGCATAACGAACGGGTCGTAGCATTACAGCTCTAATTGGCCCTTGGTTGGGCATTGGTTCCTCCAGTGTCATACTAGTACTCTCCGTGTTTCCCCTATCCATCGTACCTCCTTTTGACTACCGATCTCCGATCCCGACCTCCGATCCCGACCCCCGATCCCGACCTCTCATCCCGACATCCGATCCCGACCTTTGATCCCGACCTCTGATCCCGACCTGTGATCCCGGCCTCTGATCCCGACCTCTGACCCTCGAACGCTAATTTCCCGATTCCGCGTGTAACAATGTAGGTATGCAGTTGGTTCACTTCTTAACTGAACCTCCTGACTGAGAAGCTATCATAGGCCTCTCTTATGCGGGTACAGTTAGCATAAGATATCTCACGTGCCCCTGGTGACTATCCAATGGAACTATGGCAACAGTAAACTAAGGATGGCTTGTCATGATTATTTTTGTAACTAAAAGACTTAGTCAACTAAGAGCTAAATATCTAGTCTATACTTCTTTCCTTTAGAGTTTCTTAGCCTGACGAGTTGTCGGCGCATGAGAAAACACTACCAATCGAACCGTTGTCATAGCCCTCCTTAATAGTGACAACAGTTGCATACGTGCCGCCAATGATGATGAAAGCACCCAAGACAATCATGATCCACGAGAGGGCGACCACAATCGCATCCCTCTTGCTAGTCTTAGCCGCGTCGTGAGCCTCTTTGATCCAGTGCTTCTCCGCGAAAGAATAGTGGGGTTCGTGTGATGGTTCCTCACCAACCATAGTAGGCTTCTTAGCGACATAGTACAGCACCATAAAGCCAGGGATGATGTGGGTGAAGATCGGGTTGACGAGGGAGCCGACAAGACTGAGGAAGTCGCTGAAGAAGGGTACAACTCCGACGACGATAAAGCCGAACACAACGGTGCCCATCATGGAACTGCTCCAAACGAGCCAATGCTTGACGGTGCTGGTCTGGAGATGGCGTGTGCCACGGAGGATTCTCACGAACCAGTACTTGCCGGCAGTGTGGCTGTAGAGGATAGCAGTCACAAGGAGACCAGGCAGACCGATGCCGTAGGCAACCTTCTTGATCAAGGGACCAGCGGATCCGAGGGCGGGGCTTGCGAGGTACTGGCCGACCTTGGCGTAGACGATGGACCCGATGGCGACACAGGTCGCGATGACGATGCCCTGGCCCCAAAGGAGAGCCTTGCCAAAATCCTTGGGCTCCTTCATCTCGGCAGCGATAGAGAAACAGACGCCGGAAGCGCCGACGGCGAACAACTGGTTGGAGACAGCTGACATGGCGTGCGCGAATGTGGCCGTGGAAAAAACACGGATGTCGAGGTCAATGGGGCCCGTCTGGGGAGCAGCAGCAGGTCTGTCCTGGATGAGACATGCGATGGCCGTAGTCCAAATAGCGACAACTATGCAGGCGAAACCCGCCCAACTGACCCAGGCGATCTTATCCAGGCTGCGGAAACCACCGCCGATGAGGAATGCAGCGGCGGCAGCTACACCGACAAAGGCTACGGTGCAGGCGCCGTGGTTTGAAAGCGCGTTGAAGGCGACCGAGGAAGCGAGCATGCCGGCACCTGCAGTCAGGGCGAGATAGAGGAAGAAGCAGAAGCCGACGAACTCGCGCGTCTTCTTGCCGAACATCATTTCAGCGACGTCAGCGACACTGTAAATTTGCGGATAATACAATCTGGCGTTGCCGGAGACGTAGCCCGAGGCGGTGGTCATGATGGAGAGGATCACGAAGCAGAGGATGCCCGGAAAGAAGCCCAGAGTGTGGAACGTCTTGGGCAAACTCAGCACTCCGAGACCGAGTTGAAACTTCGCGACGAGGACGGCCGCCGCGGGCCAGGAGAGGCTGCGGAAGTTGACGTCGCCATCCTCGTTGGTGAAAACAGCGACGGGTTCGTTGACGTTCTTGTGATGGTTTTCACCGTCGGTGCCGGAGTCGACTGGATCAGTCTCTCTCTTCTCGCTCACTTGGTAGTCGGCCATGGTTGCCCCAAGGAATTCGGCCCGTTTGTAGAGACGAGTGGGTATCGTTGGTAAGGTTAGGTGAAAAGTTTTGCTTAGCGGTTAGGTGGCAGAAGAAATCAATAAGGTGAGAATATTAGGCCATTTGAGGAGGAAGCATTCTCTCTTTGTAATTACATACACCTTTGCTAATCTTAGATGCATTATCCCCATAAGATCATCAAGACAATTCGTGGGGTAAAACGACATATTGCTGATAAACCTACAGACATTCCGGATAAGGA